ACTGGCGTGCTCGATTTTCACAGAAACAAGAACAACCGTAACTTTGGAAACAAGTAAAGAAAACATCATTTATGTTCAGAATAATACAAGTCAAAGAATGACTGCACCAAGACCGTTGCTGGTGTGTTGGCACAGTCGTTTACGAGGTCTGCTTTGAACTCCGGAGGTACCGGGTTAGATTCTGTTCGAGGACAATCTCCGTCTTATTTACGAATTCCCCTGAGCAAAGAATTTACCACATACTGCTTCAGACCGGGGTTGCTCAGTCGATAGAGCTTCGAACTCAAAATCAATAAGTCATAAGTTCAAGCACCAGTCGGGTCATTCGCCATTTTTCTTTCCCTTCTTTCCGAGGTTGATAAATGAGTATCATTCTATGGGAAGGCAATAAGAGACTATACGCTACTATTGCCACATGGCTGTAGACTCCGTCTTTAAAATAAGGCATTTCTGGCTCATGACACGTAAACGGAGATCACCACTGCACCGTCAAACTCATGAATAAGGGCATCCAAATAGTCGAATCATGAAAGTGAAAGAAGACAGACATTCCAACAGTGAATAACTTCCTTTTCCTTTCCACCAAGACTAGATATCATTTGCATTCCTCACATTTACTTGCCTATGGGAAGCCGTTTAAAGAGGCCGAGATTTGAATACTTGCACTGCCAGATGAATCGCACTTCATTTTGTCCCCTGGAGCAGCTAATTTGTACTCTTCAGTAACGATTTTTCAGGAGCTGATACTCCTCATATGCCATGGAGGTGTTCGAATATAAGAACATGCTGAGATGTCTGTAGATAATTAGGAGCAAGGGGATGGTGCAGTAGCCGTCGAGACGTCGTTATATCTGGCACTGGAGGTGTCTTCGGTATTTGACATATTCAGGCGAGTGAATAACTTATAAAGCCATGGAATCTGCGCTTCTTCAGGATTACACCTTGTGGTGATTATCATACTTGATAGTCAGTTATCAGAGGAGATAGATGAAGATTATGTACAACCACGATGCGCTCAGGTTGGCCAACACGACTGTACATTTCTCTAATTCTGGTACGAACATACCATATTTCTCGGCTGATTTCACTGAAGCAATGTGGGATGAACTCCTTCGCCAAGGAAGTGCCAAGGAAGACCGCCCAACGTCGTTCTCTGGATTCAAATCCGGTACATCCGGAATTCAAAGTTTACCTCATCAACTCTGTTCAACGGCACCCATGAATGCTTCTTGTGTCCTGAACTGCAATATGCCAACAACAAAAGAACGTTCTGACTGTCCAAGAAATTCCAACTCAGTACTCTCTTTTATTTCTGAAGTATTTAACTACGTATTAAATCAAGTATAATTCAACATTGAACGTATTCAAACGGTTAAGAGTTATCGGTATTTTGGTTTAAATCTCCGAAGTCTAACAAGATCTATCAGTGTACAGGAAGCACATGCAAGATACACCACAGAAAACGTAACAATACCATATTCTATAACAAACACTACTCCATTGTATTTGACGTACATAATTTAGCATTTAAAGCGTCTTTGCTTTTCAAAACAGCATGCCCATAACAGCTACCGAAATGCTCTTATGAATCAATGTCAGACAATCAGTCATACTAAAAGGTAAGTCAGCCAAATACAACTTATTTCCAAAGCTCCTTCATGCCAACTCGTCACCTATTAAGCATTTAGTTAGATACTGCTGTAGCACTAAGACTGAGCTCCCTCTGTCTAAGTCGATCTTCATCCCGATAGTCACTTGCGATCATGAGTCGCGGGCCATGACTGAAAAATTTCGATTCCGGGTACAAGCATACTCTCTGAGGTGAATCGCGATGCTCATGGTTCTCGACACGGTCTGGAGTACAGATATTCGAGCGAGAGAGAGAAGTTAACAACCAAGGGTTCAACATGATGGTCTGGGCATGTGTTGCGAATGCCTTCAGAAAGGAAGGCAAAAGAGCTAGTCTCGAAGACCCCTGGGATTATCAAGAATATCCTGGGGCAAATGGATGGAATGACTCTGCTCCAGACAGAAATTTTTTCTGCGGGAACCGAAACGCTGGCAAAGGAAGAGGAAAGTTGGAGACACTGCCTGAAATACCTGCTCCTGCAACCCGAAAGGATAAGCGGTCATCGAAACTGAC